AGCTATTAATAAAGAACTTGTTCTCTGAAACCCACAACTGTTAATCAAATCCCTAGTGATGGTTTTCTGGTTCAATAATATATCAGATTATATAAATAGTTCATTGTATCTCACCAAAAGTGAGCGTATATGTAAAGTCAACAATCAGCCCACATAAAACTTGGTATTGCATAATAAGCTGACCTCAACGAATGCATAGCCTCGAGGCGTTGGTGTAATCTTCAACAGATTTGAGCAACAATTCCATACTGCAAAAAGAAAGAAAGGGAAGAACACTTCTCATGAAAAAAAATTATGAATCTTCAATTTCTGGCTTCCATTTTCAGTGTTTCTCTAAAACTGCAGAAGTTGGAAGGGTTGTGTTGAATATTTTATAGTCGATGTATTGGTGAACCTTGCGAAATGGCGGGATGACGGAAAACGCAATTCCAAAAGAATTTATTCAATCATATCAAAAGTAATTATTCCGTATTCCGCCATTCCGGAGCTGTTTTTTCCATCATTATGCAGTTTTACTTTGTTACCAATCGGAGCCTTTAGCCAATCAGAAAAAGTTACGAAAAACATCAAAACTCGAGTTCTGCAGAATGACAGAAACACTTACAAAAAATACTTCTGATTGGCAAACCTTATGGAAAGGCGGAATGACAGGAAAATTTTGATTCAACAAAATTTTGCCAATCAGAAAAATCTATGGAAAAATGCTAAAACTCGAGTTCTGCGGAATGACGGAAATACTTACAAAAAATAAAGAAAACTTGATTAAATAGAAAAGTGTGTTTTCAGTAGATTATTTGTGAAATCAATATTTTATATCATTCAATTATATAACTAACTATATTTTATTATTTAAATAAATACAGTTATACTACACATATTTATATAATGATCAGATTCAATCTATAGATTAAATTTTCAATTTATTTATATATTTTGTAGTAAATAAAAATAAAAATAAGAATAATTAATTACAGTAAAAAATTTAATTTTTTCTAAATATATTATAATTATGTTCTTTTATAGTAATAAATATTTTAATTTTTGTGATATCAAATTATATATAAAATTTATTATTATGAATATATAATTCTATATATTTTCTATCATTCCATCATTCTGCCATTCCGCATAATTTATCCAATTATATCATAGGTAGAAAAGTATGTTTTAGGTAAATTATTTGTGGAATCGATATTTTTTATCATTCAATTATATAACTAATTATATTTTATTATTTAAATAAATATAAAGAAATATATTTATACTATACATATTTATATAATAATCAGCTTATATCTATAGATTAAAATTTGCAATATATTTCGTAGTAAATAAAAATAAAAATAAATAACAATTATGTTTTAAAAAGTTTTAATTTTTTTAATTATATTAAAATTATGTTCTTTTTTATAATAATTAATATTTATTTTTTTATATTTTCTATCATTCTGCTATTTCACACAATTTATCCAATCATATCAAAAACAATTATTCAGTTATACCACATTCCGCCATTCCACAGTTTAATTTTTTTTGCCATTCTACAGTTGTAATGTGTTACCAATCGGAGAATAAGTTAGCATATTTTGATTCCCAATCTGAGACTGAGACTGTACGATTATCTCTTGAATACCTGACCGAGCAATTATTCATAGCTATATTACAGCGGTAAAATTGAGAGTATACAATAAACAACTGAGATTGAACGATAAAGTTTAACAAAAAAAACAGAAAATTAATTCGAAAGTCGCAATACCTAGGAGAAAGTAAATGAGAATGAAGAAACTTAGACATGGAATTTGCTAGGTGGGTTTTGTAGTGACGAGCGGGATGATATTGGAGTAAATAGAAGAAGTCTAGAGAAGTCGAGAAGGCAAAAGTGTTTTGCTTTTTTTTGCTGTGTGAATTCTTTTCCTTTTTTACAAAGACTAGTGGCACTTTTTCTAATGCTGACGTCGTGAAAGACTCGACAGAATTCATCTTATTCATGTAATATGATTCGTCCAAATATTAAAGTAAGAGGAAATGCTTCAAAATAATTTAAAGTGAGAAAATAATAGAAAATAGATATTCTATTAAAGGAAAATTGTGAAAATGATCCTTATTTTATGACTTTTTTACATATCAGTGTTATTTTTTTAACTATTTTTATTTATAGCATAATGACAGACTAAATGCAGACACTGGCAGACTAATTGGTTTAACAATTAAATATAAACTATTGATAGACTATTAGCAGACTAAATATAAATTACTGGCAAACTAACGACAGATTAAAAGCACATTAGTAGATCACTCTTATGGGTCATTTTAGAAAGGGTCATGTTTCTTAATAAAATTATCAAGTGTGTCATTTCAAAAATTATCTCTAAAAGTAAATAAAAAGATAGTACTGATATTTATAAAAATAGTCATTTTTGTAATCTTGTTTTAGTGAAGTATTTGTTTCATATTTTTATCTTATATATTATTTGAGAAGCATGTTTAATAAAATATGCTGATGTGTTGTAAGGAAAAGACAAGTTAGTGTAAATTAATGATGACCTGAAAATATGACATGAAAATGTGACATGACAAATTTCCTAAAATAAACGAAATATTTTAATTGGTTGAGTTAAAACTAAATAAATCTCATTTTCAAATAAGAAAAAAAATTATATAATATGTGAATAGATTCTCATTATATACTAACAATTCGAAATTATAAATGAAACAAAAAAATAAATGGATAGAAAAATAAATCATAAGTATCCTTCCAGTAAAATATGAGTAGAAGTAAAAGTAAAAATGATCTCTACAACTTTGGTTTTCTCTAAAAAATCTTGGGATATATCTTTGGTTTAAAGAATCTCCAACCCACCTTTATTTAAAATCTTATAATTTAGAGAAAAAATAAAGATGTTATTTTTTTCATCTATAATTGGAAGAAAAAAATAACAATTTTTTTCATATAAAATAGAATAAGTTGGAGAGAAATTTATCTATATTTTAGAGAGAAAAAAATAAAATATACATTGGAGATGATCTTAATTTTTAATATATTATTCAAGGTTAAGAAAAAAAAATAAGTTAAAAAGATAAAAAATAAAGAAAAATAATTTTGATCGATTTTATATTATTATTTGAAATATTTAAAAATATTATATTACACATATTAATTATTTCATGCATATATTTTTGTAACATATTGAAATATTATTTCATGAATCATGTTTTTTATATGTTCTGATCCATTATATTTTATATTAACACATATATCAAAGTTAGAAATAAAAGAACTCTTAATTTTTAATATAAAAATAAATTATTAAATATATTATTTTACACCTTAAACCATACACATATAAGTTTAGTATCCGACTGGTTTAAACGCTACAGGTTTGTGGAAGCGAGCGATTGCAGACTATAAAAAATTGACGAAGAGATGAGCGGAGAGCTTCCAGAGAATTTTATAAAATATGATTTTACAAATTTTATAACAAATATTTATTATAATTATTATTGAGAAACCATATATCATAAAATGCTGAAAATAAATAATTTTGATTAAATATAAAACGATAGAATTAGTTTTCGTAATTGTTGTTAAACGCCAAAAATTACATCGTGTAAAACATTATGTTTGCGAAAATATCATAAAAATTAACCAACATCTAAAAATATTACAATTCACTTATTTTTAACGCATACTTAAATGCATAAATATATGTATTTTGTTTAAAACAAAATTCAACCATACATTATATAAATATATATTACCAAACATATATTTGTTATTTTCTTTTAACACATAAAATCTATACTTTTATTTTTTCACAAATATGCATGGGGATATAAATATTAATTATACAAAACTCAAACTTGCATGCGAACTGTCGTGCATGCATTTTGTTAACCTCGATTACAGTCTCATTTTAATTCTAGTTGTTTCAAAAAAGATGAATTTTCTCATTTTTCAATAGAGTTTTTGTTAAGTATTTCCAATTTTACTCTTTTTTTTTTATCTATTTGTTTATTTTATGTGAGCAAAAACTAAAGGGCAAATATGTCATTTTAAGACTTTTCTTAATAAGTGTGAAAATCGCAAAATATATTCTTTAAGGAACATAGGAAATATTTTTTTAAAATCTCTATATTTTCTAAAAGCAGTGAGATGGTTGGTACACAAATAAAAATGGTAAACCCTATTTTGGTTTAATTAGCAATAGGTCAAAAAAATGTATACTTAAAATATATATATTGACAAGATTATATGTAAGAAGAAAAGAAAGCATAGTATATATAATATTCAAAACATATAATAAGAATTGAATTATTATTTCATATAACTTTTATTTTTGAAATTATATGTCACTCTAAACGCTAAAAAAATAAATTGTTTTTCAAAATACACAAAACGGTATGAAACCTTTATGTGATTGTTGTTAAACACTAAAACTGTATATGTATAAAAATATAACATTTACATAATGTATAAGAAAACTAATGAATACTTAAGTATTACAAATAATTATGTCTATAAACAAATTATATGTGTATATGCTTGTGGGTCCACCATAAAAATTAAATAAATTATTATATATTTTAATGTTTTCAGTTTATTTAATTACCATATTTACACTTTTTATTTAAGAAAGTATTTTTAAATTTTGATTAATATTTTTTTATTTTCAACTTCTATTGAAATCTATAATATTTTTCATTTGATTTATCGTTATTTTTTATTATTAAATGTTTACATAATGTTATTACTAATACACAATTAATAATATAAATAGAGTATCTTTAATATACAATATTAATTATATATTAAGCATATAATATGTTTTATAGCCTTCAATACCACCAATCACCTAGTTATAGATTATTTTAGAATATTTCTTAAAAACAAATATGAAAGAAAGAATTATTTCATCATGAGGTGATCTAGTAAATGACCAATCATTTTTCGTTTTCTTGACCACCTTATCCATATCCAAGGGAAAGAAAATGAAAAAAAACGACTAGACTAAAAAAAGCTTTCTCTGTTACAATTTTGTGTTTGGCTTACAAAACTTAAGAGACGACTTAGTTACAAAAAAAAAAAAAAAGCTTAAGAAACGACTTCAAGTCTTAAGAGTCAGCTAATAAAGCCATTTACACACGCAGACACACACACAAAAACAAGCTCTTGAGTCTCTCTCTGTACTTGTCCACTATGAATGCCAACGCTTATGCACAAAACCATTGAAGTTAGACATAGCTTTAAGCGAAATATCTACCATTCTTTTTTTTTGTATATAAGTATGGTGTAGGTCTCCAAGAAAAGAACGAAGCTTGTGAAGTTAACCGATGAATTTCCGGCGAAGTGATCCGACAATAAGAGGTTTACGAGCTTCAACGGCTTTACTCTGTGGTGTTATTCTGATTCAGCTGTTTGCTGCTCAAATTGATGCTCAAAGACCATGGCAGACACTCAGTGGTGAGAGTGCTTCCACTTTCTCCCTCTCTTTTTTTTGCGCATAGTTTCTGAGAAAATAGGTGAAAACGAGAGAAATTAGTAGTTGGGCGTGTGTTTTCTTGATACATTTGTGTAGTAGAAGTTGGGAAGTCTCAATAATTAGTTTTTTCTTTTAAATTAAAATATTATATGATTCCTTTTTTTGTTTTTGTTTTAAATCAGGTGATGCTCCTCTTGTGATTGCTCGTGGTGGATTTTCTGGATTGTTTCCAGATTCGAGTATCGCTGGCTACATGTTCGCAATGGAGGTAAGTGTACCCGGTGCTGTTCTATGGTGCGATGTTCAGCTAACCGAAGATGGAGAAGGCATTTGCTTCCCTGATTTAAAACTGAACAATGCTTCAAATATTGAAGATGTTTACCCAAATCGCCAAAAATCTTACCGGGTTAATGGGGTCCCTACCCAGGCTTGGTTCACCATTGATTTCTCCCTGAGAGCCCTCATGAATGTTACCTGTAAGTGTTCATGACTCAAGTTTGTAAAGAGCATTTGGGTGGTTTTTCTTGTACCTACTTACAAATGTGTCTTTTCTATATTTTTCTTATACATGTTCCAGTGAAACGAGGAATATCATCTCGGTCAGAAAAACTCGATGGGTACCCGATTTCGTCGGTTAAAGACGTAGCCACGCAGATTCAACCAAAAAGTTTTTGGTTGAATGTTCAGCACGATGCTTTCTACGAGCAACAAATTTTTAGCATGAGCAGTTTTCTGTTATTAGCTTCAAGAACAGTTTCCATTGACTACATCTCTTCCCCTGAAGTGAATATGTTTCAGAAAATTGCTGGCCGTTTCGGGATTAATGGACCGAGTTTCGTGTTTCGGTTTCTTGAGAAAGAAGAATTTGAGCCGACAACAAACCGAACCTACGGCTCTATCTTAAGTAACCTAACTTTTGTCAAGACGTTTGCTTCAGGGATTCTTGTTCCAAAGTCTTACATATTGCCACTCGATGGCAAGCAGTACCTGCGTCCTCATACATCCTTAGTTCAAGATGCTCACAAAGCAGGATTAGAAGTTTTTGTATCAGGTTTTGCAAATGATGCTGATATTGCATATAACTACAGTTTCGATCCAGTGTCTGAGTATCTATCTTTTATTGACAATGCTGATTTCTCTGTTGATGGCGTGCTCTCTGATTTTCCCATATCTGCATCTGCATCCATTGGTAAGCAAACTCTCTTCTACAAACCCCATTTTGTTCTTAAAACATTTGTTGGGAAATATTCAGATGAAACATTTTTATTTGAAAACTTCCTCAGACTGCTTCTCCCACTTAAGCAGAAACGCTACAAAACAAGGTAAGATAGTAATTTACTTGGCATTTTTTTCTGTTCTTACTTATTGACATTTTACCAAATGGTTCATGTGCTTCAGTGGACTTTCTTGTTATATCAAAAAATGGAGCGAGTGGGGACTATCCTGGCTGTACAGACAAGGCCTATGAAAAGGCAATCAAAGATGGTGCTGATGTTATTGATTGCTCGGTCCAAATGTCTAGCGATGGTAAACCCTTTTGCTCAAGTTCCATAGATCTCTCGGAAAGCACAACGGTGGCACAAACACCTCTCAAAAACCGTTCAACAACTGTTCCTGAGATTAGCTCAGTTGGTGGAATATACGCTTTTAGTCTCACATGGCCTGAGATCCATAACTTGACTCGTAAGTTTCCCTTCAAAATTTCCATATCGTTCAGACAAATGCTAGTCTATTCTGCAAACTCTTATTCCTACTATTTATAGTAACAAGCTTAATAACATAACTTGTGAGTTGCGATAACTATTCACACAACTTTTTGTGCAGCTGCTATCTCCAACCCCTTCAAAGAATCTGTTTTTTTTAGGAATCCGATTGAGAAAAATTCTGGGGAGCTAATTTTGCTTTCTGAATTCTTAAACATGGCAAAGAATTCCCCTTCTCTGTCCGGTGTTTTGATCAGTGTAGAGGTGAGTTATCATACCTCTTAATCTTAAGCCTTTAACAATCAGAATGTGACATCTTCTAATGGCCAAGCCACTATGTTTTTCGTATCCTTTAGAATGCAGTGTACCTGAGAGAGAAGCAAGGGATCGACGTGATTAAAGCGGTTCTTGATACACTCGCGGAAAGTGGTTATATCAATGGAACAACCACAACAAAGGTCATGATTCAGTCAACAAATAGTTCGGTTCTTGTTGACTTCAAGAAGCAGAGCCATTACGAGACTGTCTACAAAATTGAAGAAACCATTAGTGATATTCTTGACTATGATATTGAAGACATAAATAAATTTGCTAATGCTGTTGTCATCAGAAGATCATCAGTATTTCCCTTCCCTGATGGGTTCATCACTAGGCAAACCAATGTAGTGGAGAAACTGCTTGAGTCTCCACTCTCGGTTTATGTGGAATTGTTTCAGAACGAGTTTGTATCTCAACCATTTGACTTCTTCTCTGATGCAACCGTTGAGTTAAACTCATATATCACTGGAGTCGGTATCAACGGAACAATCACCGAGTTCCCTTTCACAGCTGCAAGATACAAAAGTAAGTGGTCCCAAATTTGCACCACCAAAGGTTTCACAACACAAAGTTATTATCATCGATGCCCAACTTTGTTTCTCTTTTGTAGGGAATCGATGCTTGGGTAGAGAAAAAATCCCACCATACATGTCCCCTGTTTCACCTGGTGGCCTTTTATCATTAGTGAGCCCAGATCCCTTACCTCCAGCCCAAGCACCAAACCGGGTTTTCACAGATGCTGATCATTACAAACGATGCAGTCAACCATTTTATTGTGGCGATCAGTTTGGTCTCTTGTACCCTTTCTGGATACTTGGCAGGGAAGACTGCGGCCACCCGGAGTTCCAGCTCAATTGTAGCAATGGGTTCGCCGAGCTTACGATATTGTCCGTGAAGTTCAGGATCTTAGAGGCAAACTATGACTCTCATATCATAAGACTGGCCAGATCAGATTATGTGGACAATCTGTGTCCCTCAAACCCACTAAATAGACAATTCTACCAAAGCGCCCTTGAATTGGATCCTGACACCGAGCTGCTAACAATATTATATGGCTGCAAAAACTTATCATCTCTTTTTTCTAGTAGCGAATCTTACAATTACGTAACCAAGTTTCCATGTAAGGATGATAGCGAAGGTGTAACAAACTACTGTGTTGTGCGAAACAGCTCGTCTGATTTATTCTACGGGAGGTTCGGCATTGACAACTTGAAGAAATATTGCAACACAGACGTTGATATTCATATTTCCGGATCAAACACTCTGCATTCAGATAATCTAAAGAAGACTCTTCAACAGGGTTTCGCTCTTGTACTTAAACAAGACTGTTCAATATGCATGGAATCTAAGGGTGCTTGTGGATATAATCAGATCTCGAGTGGAGTCATCTGCTACTGTAAAGATGGAACCCATGGCCGTAAATGTGGCTCTGGAAAGAGAAGTCATGGTAAACCATTGCCTTCTCTTATTTTGTTCTTTAATTTTTTTCCCCTATGAGATCATAAAGTTTTGTTGTATTCTGACAATATTATACCGGATGAATTGTTGAACAGGGTCTTTTGTCAAAGCAGTTCGCGAAGGTTAGTTTGTTGGCAAGGGATATTTTGAACTTTTTTGAACAATATTAGAAATGAAGTTATTAACAAATCATTTTCTTCATGTTTCTAGTTTTAGGTTCAGTAGCAGGCGTTGTTTTGTTCATGGTCTTATTATCATTGTTTCTTAGTTTTCTCCGGAAGAGAGAAGTACGGCTAAGACAACAGAATCTGAAGTCCCTCATTCCACTCAAGCACTACACTTATGCACAAGTGAAAAGAATTACAAAGTCATTTGCGCAAGTGGTTGGGAGCGGTGGATTTGGAATCGTTTATAGAGGAACACTTTCTGATGGCCGCATGGTTGCCGTGAAGGTACTAAAAGATTCAAAGGGTAATGGTGAAGACTTCAACAATGAAGTTGCAAGCATGAGCCAAACTTCTCATCTCAACATTGTTTCCTTGCTTGGGTTTTGCTCTGAAGGTTCCAAAAGAGCAATTATATATGAATTTTTGGAAAACGGGTCTCTTGATAAATTCATCTCAGGCAAGACGTCGAAGAATTTGGACCGGAAGGCACTATATAGAATTGCGCTAGGAGTTGCTCGTGGTCTAGAGTACTTACATCATGGCTGCAAAACAAGGATTGTACATTTTGACATAAAACCACAAAATGTACTCTTGGATGACAATTTTCTCCCCAAAGTTTCGGATTTTGGCCTCGCTAAGCTTTGTGAGAAGAAAGAGAGCGCTTTGTCATTGCTGGATACAAGAGGTACAATAGGATATATTGCACCAGAAATGATTTCTAGAGTCTATGGGAGTGTGTCTCACAAGTCAGATGTGTATAGTTATGGAATGTTGGTTCTAGAGATGATTGGTGCAACGAACAAAGAAAGAGCGCATCAAGGCTCTGCTTCTAATGCAAGCTCAATGTATTTTCCTGAATGGGTATATCGGGATCTTGAATTAGGAAAGTCCAGAAGGCTTATCGAGAATGGAATCAGCAACGAAGACGATGAGATAGTGAAGAAGATGGCTTTAGTGGGTTTGTGGTGTATTCAGTCTTCTCCACTAGATCGCCCACCCATGAATAGAGTTGTAGAGATGCTGGAAGGAAGCTTGGATGTTCTTGAAGTCCCTCCTACACCTGTTTTGCAGCAAATTCCCAGAGCAACTCTTCAAGAATCTTCAACATTTTCAGAGGATATCTCAGTGTTAGCAATGAAAGCAGAGGTGAAACCTCAAAAAGAAGATGAAATTTAAAAAAAGTTCTTTTATTTATTTTGTGAAGCTTGATCGATTACAACAACGCTACAATGTATTTATACTGATAACCAGTTGGAAAACCCTAGTTGAGTCATTCTGAAGATAAGGTTGCCAGCATACTAAAACTATTTTGAATCGCAGTAGTACGATTTGTCGTTGCTGTCGTTGCTGCGTCTCCCTCTGCTTTTGCTCTGGTTTTGTCTTCTTTCTCTTTCAGAGAAGACCGTTGCTTTATGAGCTTAATATTCACCTTGGGCTTCGAGTTGTGTTGGGCCTCTTCATTAGTTGCAGAAACGGCTGCGTTTGAGGAAGCTGTGTTCATATCCCCTCTCAAACTTGGGATGGGAGACGCGACTACACCGAGTTTGCTTCGCAATCAACAGAAAGGCTCAGCGGCAAGGGATTTCGTGAAAATATCAGCAAGCTGGAGATGCGCAGAAACATGCTTCACAACAAGAGATCCCAGCGCAACCCGTTCGCGGACATAATGCCAATCAGTCTCAAAGTGCTTAGTCCTCTTGTGAAAGGCAGGATTGGCAGTGAGATAGACGGAGAATTGATTATCGCCGTAGAGCTCAGGCGTAACTGGCAACGAGATTCCAAGCTCACGCAGAAAAATACTAATCCAGGTGATCTCAGAAGCTGTTTCAGACAAGGAGCGATACTCTGCCTCGGTTGAACTCATGGACACCGTAGGCTGCTTCTTGGAGGACCAGGAGATGAGATTTTGACCAAGGAAAGTGCAGAAACCACCCGTTGAATGGTGTGTGAAGGGACAGCCCGCCCAATCACTATCGCTGTAGGCTTGAAGAGTACAATCGGAGTGTTTGTTGAACAGAAGACCCATAGACACTGTTCTTTTGACGTAGCGCAAGATCCGCTTGAGATTGTTGAAATCAGCCATTAAGGGTTCATGCATCTTTTGACACACATAATTGACGGCAAATTGAATGTCAGGTCGGGTAAGCGTGAGATACTGCAGCTTCCCGGCGAGACTATGAAAGTACGTCGGATCAGAGAAGGGGACATCTTGTGCGTGTACTTTGTTTAGTTGCAAAGGCAGTGGAGTTGGCATTGGGGCACAATCTGACATAGACGCCGTGCTCAAAAGATCCAGAGCGTATTGTTCCTGTGTTAGAAAGAGCCCTTCTTCTTGAAATTTTGCCTGAATTCCCAGAAAGTAGTGAAGCTGACCCAGATCTTTCATTCGAAACTGCTTACTAAGCTCATCCAGTAATCTTGTAAGAACTGCAGAACTATTTCCAGTTATAGCCATATCATCCACATATAAGAGCAGCATGATCACATCTTTGTTGTGAATGTAGATGAAAAACGATGGGTCTTTGATACTGCAGACAAACCCAAACTTGAAAAGAAAGTTGCTGAATTTGTCATACCAAGCTCTAGGCGACTGTTTTAAACCATAGAGGGATTTGTGTAAATGACAGACATGATTCGGCTTAGTCTTATCCACAAAGCCAGCTGGTTGCTTCATATAAACTGTCTCGGTAAGATCACCGTGAAGAAAGGTGTTTTTAACGTCCATTTGCTTGATATCCCATCCCATGATTGTAGCTAAGTGAAGTACAGTTCTGACAGTTGCAGTTCGAACAACAGGGCTATACGTCTTGAGATAATCGATCCCCTCTTCTTGTTTGAATTCCTGAGCCACCAGACGAGCTTTCAACTTATCCAATGTACCGCCAGCGTTTAGCTTAGTCCGAAATACCCATTTACTGCCAAGAACATGCATGTCTGGAGAATAAGGAACTAAGGACCAAGTATTCGTTTCAGCACAGTTTCCTATTTCTTCACCCATCGCATTGTTCCAGCCTTGATGCTTAAGCGCTTCAGTGACTGTCTTGGGCTCGGGAAAAGACACTCTATGAGTAAGGAGAGCATAGCGTGGATTAGGCTTAACTATTCCTGACTGAGACCTCGTCTTCATTCGGCTTGCTTGTCCTGACTGAGGCCTCGTATCCCCTCTGAGTGGTTGTGTAGAAGCGATATTTTGAGCTGAAGGTTGCGACACAGGGACACATTCAGGAGGAGCTGATTCACTCACCAGAGAGAAGACACTGTCACCTGCAACATGCTCAGAGTGTTCCATCCCTGCAGTAGTAGACACACTTGGTGTAGAGGAGTTACTAATCGGCAAGGGTGGGAAATCCTGATCAGAGAACAGAGGTACAGCAATTGTCGCCTCGACTTGAGTATGTGGAGGAGGAGCAACAGGTACTTGTCTCTGAGAAGATGGTGACGGGAGGAAACATTTCTGCCAAGCTGCCAAGCTCGATGTCGTTGCTGCATTGTGAAAGCTCTTGTATCGACTTGCAAAGGGAAAGCTCTGCTCATCGAACAGAACATGATGAGTTATATATACTCTTCCCGTTGGTGGATATAGACATCTGTAACCTTTGTACTTGTCATTATAGCCAAGAAAAACACAGTGTAAGGAGCGATGATCAAACTTATTTTCTGCATAATCACGAAGAGTTGGGAAGCAAGAGCAGCCAAACGTCCGTAAAGCAGAGTAGTCCAGATCTTTCTTGTGCAACATCGCATATGGACTACGCTTTCTATCAAGAGCAGCCGACGGAAGCAGATTACTCAGAAAATTAGCAGTGGAGAAGGCCTCGACCCAATACTGTTGTGGCAGTTTTCCATGAAAGAGCATAGTTAGCCCCAACTCAGTGAGATGTCGATGCTTCCTTTCAGCCAAACCATTTTGTTGTGGTGTGTATGGGCATGAGATATACTGCTGAATACCACAGTCCTGAAGGTGGTTGAGAAACTTTCGACTGATGAATTCACCACCACCGTTACACTGAAATGTACCGATTTTGGATGAAAGAAGATTCTCAACAAGCTTCTGAAACATGACGAATATCCCAAAGAAGTCTGATTTTGCTTTCAACGGATAAAACCAGGAGAAATGAGAGTAGTTGTCGATGAAAATGACATAGTATTTGAATCCTTGAATTGACATTATTGGAGAGGGACCCCAGAGATCACAATGAACTCTCTCTAGAGGTCGAGAAACAACAAAACTAGACATTGCAAAAGGTAATCTACTACTCTTCCCCAGACGGCAAGACTCGCACATCTTCAAGGTACTTTTATTCAGCAAGATAGACTTATTTTGATGCAGATACTGCAGGACTTCAGAGTGAGGATGTCCAAGCCTCTGGTGCCACACTTCATCGCTTGTAGAGATCTGTCGCGTGGAGTAGAAAACTTGAAACCTCGGATCTTGTAGCAGGTAGAGACCATCACGAGTTCTTCCTAGTGTCAGAAGCTGCTTTGTGTGTTTGTCCTTAACACGAACACCATCCGAATCAAATTTAAAGGAGTACGGATAATCTGAAGTCAATTTTGAAACAGACAACAGAGATTTGGCAATATCAGGACAGATCAATACATTTTTGAGAGGGAGTGTACCTGATGTAGAAGGAAGATCTGCAGAGCCAACATGAGTGATTGGAAGAAAGTTACCGTCACCCACCAGAACAGTGTCATTACCATGATACGGCTGTGCGTGAGTAAGGTGTTGCGTGGTGTTGGTGATGTGAGCTGTAGTGCCTGTGTTTGGGTACCACTCTTGACCAGATGCATCAGAGACCTCAGTGATTCTCATAGCTGCCATTGCTTGGGGAAGCTCCTCGTCATGATAACTGTTATTGAATCGATGCCAGCAGCGCAAAGCTTGATGTCCATATTTTCCACAGATCTGACAGACCGGCCTGTCCTCGCCCTTAGAAGAGCCATTGTAAGAGGAAAACTGCTGATGAAAACTGCGACCTCTGGTTGAGTAAGAGCCACGTCCCCTGGAGCCACGTCCACGGTTATTCTGTTGACGACGACCACGGTTAGAGTGATAGTCGGCGGAGTTCTGAGATGACCGTGTGGTGTTGTAAGTAAGATGAGGCGTGACTTCACCAGCAGAGTAACTTTGGAGTCTGTCGTCAAAGCCAGTGAGCCTGGGAACAACATCGTCAAACGAGGGAGGAGGAACGGAGTCCATCAAACCTTCGATGCTTGTCTTGATGGGTTCATACTCTCTGCCAAGACCTTGAAGAGCAGAAAATATCTTCATCTTCTCTGTCACGGGATGGCCAACAGAGGAGAGAAGAGTACACAAGGATTTGACTTCTTTGAGGTAATCGAACATGGATTTCCCGGCTTTGGAAACAGTTTGGAGACGTCGCTGCAGCTGGAACAGACGTGATGCAGAGCAGCGATTGAAGTGGTTAGCAACGCAGAGCCATACATCCTGAGCAGTTTCGCAGTTTACGACCAAATCCAAGATATCATCGGCAAAAGAGCCTACCAACCATGATTTAACCACCTGGTCTGTTTTGATCCAAAGTTGGTAATCTGGATTTTGGGCTTCTGTATCTTGACCGTTGATTCCTGGGATGAGGATGAAAGGCGGAGGACGAGGCATAGCGCCGTTGACGAAACCAAGAAGACCATGACCGGAGAGAAAGGATTCAAACTGGAACTTCCATCGGAGATAAGAGTTCTCGTTGAGTGTTACAGTAACGGAGGAGGTGATGTTTAGTGAAAGAGGTGTGTAAAGATCCAGAGCTCTGTTCTCCATGGCTCTGATACCATGAAAGCAGAGGTGAAACCTCAAGAAGAAGATGAAATTTAAAAAAAGTTCTTTTATTTATTTTGTGAAGCTTGATCGATTACAACAACGCTACAATGTATTTATACTGGTAACCAGTTGGAAAACCCTAGTTGAGTCATTCTGAAGATAAGGTTGCCAGCATACTAAAACGATTTTGAATCGCAGTAGTACGATTTGTCGTTGCTGTCGTTGCTGCGTCTCCCTCTGCTTTTGCTCTGGTTTTGTCTTCTTTCTCTTTCAGAGAAGACCGTTGCTTTACGAGCTCAATATTCACCTTGGGCTTCGAGTTGTGTTGGGCCTCTTCATTAGTTGCAGAAACGGCTGCGTTTGAGGAAGCTGTGTTAATAAACAAAAGGATGATCGATACATTTTTTTCTTCAAGAAATGACAGGTACAGTAGAACCTCTATAAATTAATACTTGATAAATAAACAATCACTATAAATTAATAATTTTTACCGGTCTCAAGTCGGGCCAGTGTAAATTGACAAAATTCTATAAGATAATAAAATAATATTTTTTTTGAAAGTTCTATGTAAAAATATAGTCCCAATAATATTATAAATTAATAATTATATATTTAGGCATATATTAATAATATAATATAGTAAACTATGATAATATTGTTGTTTCAAGTTTATAAAAATTGTTTGAATTATTTTCTAAATTTATTATTATGACATTTCTGGAATGAATTTGACATTGTTGAAAATATTGATTTTGTTTTTTTTGATGAATATTAAAAATTCAAAATAAAATATTTCTATAAATTAATATTTTATTAATTTATCGATAAATTAATAATTATTAATTTATCGATTAATTAATAACTCTATAAATTAATAAAATTTGAAAGTTCCAATATTATTAATTTGTAGAGGTTTTACTGTATATTGTCTACATCTATTATCTATTATATTAAAAGAGAATCCATGGTAGAAAAATAACTTTTACTTGATGTGTTATTTACCTAATATGTCATTGGACTTTCATTAGTTATTTTTCATTAAATTATCAAATGCTTAATTTTTTGTTACTTTTCTCATTAAGGGCCCAATAATTTGTTTTCCTTCTTATTAAAAGGTCCAGTTTTATTTAAAAAAAATTAAAACTATCTTATTTTTTTATTTTTAATTCGAAATTTATAAAAATAAAAATACCAAAATAAAATACCAAAATAATATTTTTAGAATCTAAATTTTATTTTACCAAAAAATCATAAATTATGTTAGACCAACAATTATTTATATAATATTAATTATTTAATATAAAAATTTTCATTTCAATTTTGTTTTGCTAAATTTAAAAAAAGAAAAAAAAGAATAAGGTTAGAGAAGAAGAAAAAAAATGAAAAAGAGAAGAAAAGAGAAAAAAAACCTACAAAAATCGAAATAAAAAACAAACAAAGCAAAGAAGTACAAGAAAAATTACAGAAAAAATAACAAAAAAAAAGAAAAATGAGAAAGAAAAAAAAAGAATAAAAAAAATAATAGAGAAAAATAGAGGGAAAAAAACAGAAAAGAAAATCACTAAAAATAAGAAGAGAGAAAGAATGAAAAAGAATAACGTACAAGAAGAACTTAAAAGAAAAATAGAAAAAAATAAAATGAAGATGAAGAAGTGAAAAAGAAGAACAATAATAAAGATTTAAAAAAAGACGAAGAATAACAACAAAAGAATAATAACGAATAAGATAAAGAAAAAGAAAAATATTAATATATTATCTTCTTATTAAAAATCAAACACACTTTTATTGTATAATTTTTTTGACTAAAAAATATGAATACGATTAACAAAAAAAATTAATCGTATTTTATAACATCTTAGCATTATCTATAGATTAACTATCTTGATTACAATGTTGTAGAACAATAAAATTATATTTATAAAACCAACATTTTTAAAATTAAATTAAAAATTGTTACATGCGCGGACGCACATGTTAGATCCTAGTTCTGGATTAAAAAGGATATTTATGTTAAATTAGTTATGGGGTGGGGTGGGGGGTATTTTAAACTAGTTAGAAGAACGTTCTAGCACGAAACATTCAGAGCCTTACAACCAAACATGATTCTCCGATTTAATATGACTAGATTTTTATCCACACATTGCGCAGACTTATTTATTAATTTAATTAAAATTATATATATTTATTAAATTAATATTATTGTCTGTTATATATATATCTATTATTTTTAAATGTTTTTGTTGTCCTAATATATATTGTACAATTATTTTTCTAATATAGATTGTGGTGTATTAATTGTTAAAAAAATATTTTATATATCTATACACTGCAATAAGTATTATATATATTCTTACTGTTTATTTGTATTCAATTGATTTCTCATCTTTTTTTTCATAGATCAATAAAGTAAAATCATCATCAATCCTTCTCCACTTAAAACTAAATGTTCTCTATATTTTTTAATCGATTTCAAAAAATTTAACTCATTTTTAAAGCACAATTAGTCCTTTATCTTTTTCCCTTTCTTACAACTCTTAGTCTCGTTATTCTATTTGATATCTACTGGTTTTTTCTCTTATTGCATACAAACTTCCATCTCATTTAGTTCTGTGATCAGTAATAACTCTAAATGAGGAGAATTTTAGTTAGAGTTGGCTAGTGAGAGTAAGAGATCTTTTCAAATATTACATATGTTGGATGGGGTTTTATATCAAAAAATTATGCTTACTTGATAAATTATTGATTTTAATTGATTTAAGGTATTTTCCTTTTTCAATGATGAACTAACTGATTATATTTGTGAATGTGTGTGAGAATATTTTTGTTTATTTTTATTTCATGTGAATGTAAACAACATGATTATGTTAAAAAGTATAATCAATAATCTTGTTTTAGTTTATTTATACATTTTATATAAAAACTCATGTATTATCCGACTGATGAGTAAAGTGATCGCATATCAATTTTATATTACCATCATTGTGAAAAAAATGGTTGATAAGTATTTGTCATTTTTTTCCTCCTTCGTATAAATCAAATTTATTTACATGCCATATAATTAAACACTTTATGTTCTTTATTTATTAAAAGCTTTCATTCATTTTACACAGTAAAGTGGAAGAATGATTTTACTTTAGTTTTAAGCATTAATATTTCTGATTCTTTTTAAATAAGTTTGATAACTATTCTCAGAAGTTCTTCTGTCATCTTTCATAATTGTTCACTTTCCAACTCTTTTTTTCAAATTCTGTTTGCTTATATTTGAAATAACATTTTGAATTTTTTATTTCAAAGAGAATTTGTAATTTTTATAGTATTCAAAATAAGAATTTGTTTTATATATATGATTTTACTTTAGCTTTATATATAAATCTTTCTAAGTTTTTTTTAATAAAGTTTGATAATTATTTTCTGTAAGTTTTTCTGTAATTTTTTGTATTTGGTTGCCTTCCAAACTCCTTTTCACAAATAAAGAATTTGTATTTTATGATTTGTAAAATAAGTATTTATTTTAATTTCAAATTAACCATATTAAAAGCCCAAAAATAAATACCCAAAATATAAAAACTCAAAAACAAAATCCAAAATATTTAAAAGTCTATTTTAAAATAAAAATTATGCTGATGTGGACACTTTAGATGGAGAAATAACTTGTTAATTATATATACTATGTGATGATCCGCGTGTACACATATGTATATGTTTTATTATATATATTTGAAATTATAATTAATATAATATTTTAAATAACTATATATCTTTTTGGTAATAATTTATTTTTATGTTTATTGTTTCTTTTACTTTCAAATATTTTAATTTTGTTTTTTGGGTTTTTAGATGTTTGTTAAAAAGAAAATAGCAAAAATATTTTGTTTCTTTCACGTAATTTCGTCATTGGTTTCACCTCGGGTTGTTGTAAATAAAACAGCAAATAATTCAAATTCATCTTGCATTTTTCAAAACATTTTAGAAACAAATCTCTAAAGAGAATCAATGGTCGTTGTTGAATGTATCTGGGAAGATATCCCACTCGATGTCCACATTGTGAACAATTATGATATGAACGATTTGGGAGCGAAGGCATGAGGGTTCATGGATACCTAGTTGCTGGAACTCAGACATCGGCCTAACTTTAATTCCAAGAATTGTCAGCCCATAACTATCGATAGATGTGAGTTGTGATAACTAATTTTCAGCTCCAGAACTTGAGTGCATTGTTTCAAAAATGTTAGATTTAAGATCTTGTCTTATGAGTCCATATCTAACAATGGTTTCAGCTTATATAAGCAATTTAGATTAATAGTTTTAGACAATTTAGTAAAATTCCCAAAAAAAAATACAGACATTTGAGATTCTCTTTTTTTACAAGCAAAAAAGTTGATGGCCTTAACACTACTAACATATAAAGAATATTAATGAATAAACTTAGGAAATCATTAGTGTAGGACATAATGTACTTGACTGGAAATTCTGATTCAAGTTGCAATCTAGGCCACCAAGAAGCTTTTGCCTTAAATCACATGGAATATATTTGTGTCTGTAAGTCGTAATGATTGAAAGCCGGATGAAAACTGTTAACCAGTCGCTCTGTCTGCCAAGTATAGAAGACATGGATTTTTGTGAACTAAACAGGTAGAGAGTGGAACTTCAAAGAATAAGTTATAGAAAATTAGAACATAAAAGAGACTTCCATGAATCATCCTCATTAACGATGAATCAACTCTAGATTAATGGGTTCACTTAACTAACATAATAAACGTTCTTCCTCATGAATCTAAAATTGACTTGCGATTGATTTCATTGACTTGCAAACAAACCCAGACTTTGATTTATTACCACATTGCGCTTTGCTCATGTCTATTATTATTTCTATGAAGAAGATAAGAGAAACCGATGGTTTACATTTTTTTACCTGAATGATGTCTTCTCCAGCTAATAGGTTAACTTTCTGTGGAAGCATTTTGCTGCTCTTGTCATTGTCACCAAACCCGAGCCTTCCATGTTCTCCCCTTCCCCAACCATACACCTTATATTGGACACAACCAAGTCACAACATGAAGATCTACATCAAGCTTAGAAAACAACCCAGCAATGGCTTGACCAAGAGCTTAGATCCAGCTGAATATGAAATTAACTTGAGACTTTAGAACAATAAGAGTTTCATGAGGTTAATACCTCTCCTTCATCGGTTAAAGTTGTTGAATGTCATCCACCTGCAGCAATATCAACCTAACACGCAAGGGGGAAATTGTTAAGCTTTTATCGTAGAAACATGGATTTAACAAAAGGCCTTTATAGATTAAGCATCAGGCATAAATTTTAGAGCACATACCAAAGTGAGATCATCGAGGCCTTGGACTGGAATAGGATGCGATCTTAGTTGGGTATATCCGGCCCCAAGTTGTCCATATTCATTATTGACCCAAGTCCAGAAAGTCCCATCTTCTTTCAGAGCCAGATTATGAAATGCTCCAACAGCAATCTGGCAAACGTTTTGAACACCATGAACTCTTACAGGAACAGATATCTGTTTTCTGCGATTGAACGGGAAAACCTCACATATTAGTAACAGCAGACAAGAAAAAGCAAATGTTGTATGGACAAATGAGAGAGGAAAAGTACATGTCACCAGGAGGCCACGGTTGACCTCAAGTCCATACATGACCTTCACGGGTTAGAACCACAGAGTGAGTTCCCCCTGCAGCTACATATTAATTTTTAACCCAGAAAATACGGTTTAGAAGGAAATAAAGCATTAAAACTTGAGGCAAGTGCAGAGAGGTTAACTTCATAAATTACCTGTCGAACTGTAAGTTTCGGGGCACAACACTTCGGGATTACAATGTCCCTCCGCAGAGGCCTACCTGTATCATCTTTAGAAGGCTCTTCACTACACTGTCCATATTCATTTCCCCCTAAGTAGGTTCCATAACAAAAAGATGATAATTGTCAATTGAAATATCTTTAAGGTCACAACCAATAGAGAGAAGCAGAGATAAAAGTGCATACCCCAAGCATATGCTCGGCTTTGATCATCGACAACTTTTCTCCGAGTTCTTTATCAATTTTTGTCACGAAGAAGGAACAGTTTATCTCCAAAATCAAACATGTAGATCGAGGTAACGAAGAAGGAACAGTTTCCGAATCTCGACGGATTTCGCAGCCTCCAACATATCCTCCGGTAGGGTAATCCCTCTACGCTCTGTCTCTTTCATAACTTCATGGAATTTCAGTATCGGACCAAACTCCTTTCTCCTCAGCTTTATGCTTCATCCTCTCCATCATCTCCGCCGCCATTACCACTATTCCCTTTTCCGTCATTTTTTCCATTGTTGCCGCCATTGCCGCCGTCACCATCTAGAGTTCTGGCTCCAAATCGCTTAAAGTCTCATCCTTCAAATCGCTATATGCCCATTCCGGGACCGATCTACCGGAGATTTCCCCACTGACCACTTTCGATCCGACGTTTCGGTTATAAAAATTCCGAGAAGACAGCTCCGAGCTCCAATGGATCCGTCCGGGTTCGACACCAGGGCTCCGAAGGAAATAAACCGACCTGATTTCTAACCTCTACCAGCTCTGCATTACTTTAGAGGCTCTACACTATTGAACACATCGGTGGAGAGATTCGAAATGTGGTAAATTTTTAGAGATAGACATTTAATTTGCCAATCTCCTCGAGACCGTATGATCTGCGAACGGAAGATCAAATACTCAGAAGCTTTTTCAAAAGTTGCAAAAACTTCAGGCAGAAACCAAAAAACAAAAATGAAAGTGGATATTAGTAAAGAAGAGAATGAGGATGCGAATCAAAGTTACGAGGTTACAGAGTTTAAGAGAGACTATGAAGTTGGAACGATAGAATTTTAAAAGGTTTGTTGAGAGATTATTAAAGAGAGTTAAAGACAGAAATCCGTAAGACTTTTGTATTATAGAAATATTCAAAAAAAAACTATGTGTTAAGGTGTTATAGAGATACAAGTGAGTTTTTATATAATAGATGATAGATAATTATGCGTTTTTGACATAAAAAATGATACAAATGTGTCTTCAATAAACGATTCCGCAATTTTAGCATCAAAACGTGAATTCGCAGTTTCAAAACTCGATTTTGGGTTATCCAAGATTGTTCATATTTTTGTGGACAGTTTAGTTTGATGACAGTCGGGTGTGTATTTGTGAGTCATTGCTAATCCTTAGTGCTTGTTCTTGTTCAAACATTCATATAATAAATATTTGGTTGTAAATTAATGCTTTATCAAGAAAAGCAAAAAAGAGTTTAAAATCTTTTGAACTTTAGAGAAAAAGAGAGAAAGATAAACATAATAACTTCGTTTATTTTTTTTTTTGAACTTATGATTTTACAAAGAATGAAGTCACCTATTTATAGGAAAAAACTTACTTCATAGTAAAGTAGGCTAATCTATAAAGACAAAACATATAGATAAATATTATCCAAAACATATGGATAAACATTATCTAAATCTTATGGATAAGCATTATCCTTTAATATGCTGATGTATAAAGATAAAAGCAAATGGATAATCACTATCCATTTAATACTCTCCCTTGATTATCCATCATTTCTAATATATTATGTACTGCCTCGCTAAAAACCTTATCATGGAAAAACCCGTGTGGGATAGAACCATGACAGGAAAAAGAGTGCAGTAGTGCTCCTCCTCGAAATGGCGCATGAGTATCCATCGCTGTGAAGTTGCGTGCTGTTCTATCGCTCTTGATATAACCTTCTCGAGCTCTTGAGTATATGAGAAAAATCTTGGAGGGATATGCTTCGTTCTATCGCTCTTGAGTATATGAGAAAAATCTTGGAGGGATATGCTTCGTTCTATCGCTCTTGATATAACCTTCCTTAATTTGAGCGACACAAGTAGCATTGTCTTCAAATACTTTTGTTGGTTCTTTGTCTGTGATTATTCCGCTTGCTTCTTGTATGTGATGAACTATCGACCATAGCCATATACATTCTCTGCATGCTTCATGAAGCGCAATAATCTCCGCATAGTTTGAAGAAGTCGCGACCAAAGTTTGCTTTTGAGATCGCCAAGAGATCGCAGTTCCACCAAATGTGAACACATATCCAGTTTGCGATCGAGCTTTATGCGGATCAGACAGATATCCTGCATCTGTAAAACCAACTAGACCAATCTCGGGGTTTCTAGAATAATATAATCCAAATTCAATCGAACCTTGAAGATAACAGAATATATGCTTTATTCCATTCCAATGCCGGCGTGTCGGTGATGAACTATACCTTGCAAGTAAGTTAGTAGCAAAGGCTATATCTGGTCTAGTACAATTTGCAAGATACATAAGGGCACCGATAGCGCTCATATAAGGCACTTCAGGACCTAATATTTCTTCGTTACCTTCACAAGGTCGAAATGGATCCTTGTCAACGTCAAGTGGTCTAGTGACCATTAGAATACTCAAAGGAGTCGTTTTATCCATACTAAAGCGTTTCAACACCCTTCTGGTGTAATTTGATTGATGCACAAATATTCCATCTTGAAAATGCTCTATCTGGAGCCCTAGACAAAATTTTGTCTTTCCAAGATCTTTCATTTCGAACTCATCTTTCATATGAGCTCTAGCATCATCAATCTCCTTTTGAGTTCCAATCATGTTCAGGTCATCAACATACACAGCAATGATCACAAATCCTGATGCGGATTTCTTAATAAACACACAAGGGCATATCGCATTGTTGACGTAACCTTTACTCAACAAATACCACATGCGTCCGGATTGCTTTAATCCGTAAAGTGATCGCTGTAGTTTAACCGAACATAGCTCTTTAGATGCTTTAGGCATCTTTGATCCTTAAGGGATCTTAAATCCTTCAGGGATTTTCATGTATATGTCACTATCAAGTGAACCATATAGGTATGCAGTCACAACATCCATCAAGTACATCTCTAAATTATTAGAGGTCGCTAGGCTCATTAAGTACCTGAATGTGATTGCATCCATGACCGGGGAATATGTCTCTTCATAATCTATTCCTGGTCTTTGAGAAAATCTTTGTGCCACAAGGCGAGCTTTATACCTTGTGACCTCATTTTTCTCATTTCTCTTTCTTACAAAGACCCATTTGTATCCGACCGGTATTACATCTTCAGGTGTAATAATTATCGGTCCGAATACGTTCCGTTTATTAAGGAAGAATATCTCATCTCTCATGGCAACTTGCCATTTATCCCAGTCAGGCCTTCTTTGGCACTCTGACACGAAACTTGGATCTTGATCATCATTTTCATGATCGATCTCTTTGGAAACAGAAAAAGAGAACATTCCATCATTATCTTATATTTCACTTTTAGCCCATAATTTTCCACTTTGGACGAAGGAGATGGAAATCTCATATTTTTCTGCTTCAGATTCGTCTTCAGGACAAACCTCTTTACCTAGTTCTTCAGGAACTGGTTCAGATATGTCTTTCGGACATATATCTTCATTTGTTTCTTCAGGAACCTTTTCACAAATGTCTTCAGGATATTTGGCTTTATTTGGTTCTTCCAAAACCTTTGCTTCCAATTTCTTTCTTTTTCAGGGATTTTTATCTTTTGATCCTACTGGCCTCCCGCGCTTTAACTGAACCGGTTCAATTGCTCTATTTACATCAATATGTTCTTCAGGAATATTTATCTTTGATGGAGCGTTAGCAGCAGGGATATAGGACTTTGTCACTCTTCTTGTATTAGTGAATGCATCAGGTAACTGGATTGCCAATCTTTGTATATGTATAATTTTCTGAACTTCCACCTCGCGTTGGTTTGTAGGAGGATCAAGAGAAGCCAAAGTTTTTGTACACCATGTGATATCATTTGGTGATTCTCTCAATCCTCCCCCTAACGCAGGGAATTCACTTTCATCAAAGTGGCAATCGGCAAACCGTACCGTGAACATATCACCAGTTACCGGCTCAAGATACCTAATTATACTTGGTGACGAATACCCGATATATATTCCCAATCTTCTTTGTGGTCCCATTTTTGTTCTTTGAGGTGGCGCTATAGGGACATAGACCGTACACCCAAAAACACGAAGATGGGATACGTTTGGCTTCTGGCCAAATGCTAACTGTATGGGGGAATATTCATTATACGCACTTGGTCTTATCTAGACCAATGCCCCAGAATGAATTATAGCATGTCCCCATACAGTGATTGGAAGCTTTGTTCTCAAGATTAACGGTCTTGCAATTAATTGCAACCGCTTAATCAATGACTCAGCCATGCCATTTTGTGTATGAACATGCGGAACCGGATGCTCAACATCGATTCCCAAAGGCATACAATAGTCATTAAAGGCCGCTGAAGTGAATTCACCAGCGTTATCAAGCCTGACTTTCTTTATGGCATAATCAGGAAAATGCGCTCTCAACCTGATTATTTGGGCAATGAATCTTGCGAAATCCATATTTCTTGTGGTCAAAAGACACACATGTGACCATCTACTAGATGCGTCAATCAATACCATGAAATATCTAAATGGCCCGCACGGTGGGTTAATCGGCCCACATATATCACCATGTATTCTCTTTAAGAATACAGGGGATTCATTCCTAACTTTGGCTGGCGAGGGCCTACATATGAGTTTTCATTGAGAACATGCCTTACATGAAAACTCCCCCGATTGAAAAATCTTCTGGTTTTTCAATGGGTGACCACTTGAATTTTGCAAAATTCTTCTCATCATGACTGAACCAGGATGGTCTAACCTTTCATGCCATACTCTAAAGGTGCTGGTAAACTTCTGGTTTACCGCAACATGTGATTCAGCCATGGTTATCTTTGTGTAATATAATCCGGAGGACATCATTGGTAACACTTCCAACTGATGTTTACTCTCTGTTGTAATGCAAAGATATTCAGAGCCATTCTTATTAATAGTCTCAATATGATATCCATTTCTGCGGATATCTCGAAAACTTAATAAGTTCCGTTGAGACTCGGGGGAGTATAATGCATCTTGCACTGCAAACTCTGTACCCCTTGGCAATGAAAAACTTGCTCTTCTGGAGCCTAGTATAATCTTTGCAATACCAGTTATAGTACTCACGCTTCCAGCGGAGACTTTCATTTTGAGACAGGAGAAATACTTTTTATCCCTAATGATTGTATGTGTCGTAGCACTGTCTGCTAGACAAGTATCTCCATCCATAGTCTCAAATTCTGATATTTTCTGAATTTAAATATTCATAAAAGATGCATTAATAAGTATTAAACACATATCTGACAATACTGCTTATGGTGCAATAGAACCTCTCTGGTATAAGTCAAGAGACGCTCATGCTGATAATGTGTTGTAAATTAATGCTTTATAAAGAAAAA